CAACGCCAAATTCTGAAAAGCCGGCATCAACTCGAAAACAGTTGATTGAGGACCAAAAGAAGGATCCAGAGCTCGCCAAACTCCGAGAAACCGCAATGACATCACAAGAGACAGAGCTAGCATCAACGTGCTACTACATCCAAGATGATATGCTCTTCAGGAAATGGAAACCTCCAGACGCATCCAACGAAGAAGAATGGAGAATATGCCATCAAATCGTGTTACCAGAGAGATACCGAGCGTACATCATGAATCTGGCTCATGACACACCAATGTCAGGTCATCTCGGCATCCACAAGACATACCACAAGATTATGTCACACTTCTTCTGGCCACGTTTGAAGAAAGATGTCATCCAGTACTGCCGATCTTGTCATGCCTGTCAGATGGTTGGCAAGCCAAATCAAAAGATCCCTGTTGCTCCTCTGAAGCCGATTCCAGCCTTTGAAGAACCTTTCAGCAGAGTACTTATTGACTGTGTTGGTCCTCTCCCAAGGACAAAAGCTGGCAACCAATACCTGTTGACCATTATGTGTGCTTCAACTCGTTTTCCTGAGGCTATTCCTCTAAGGAACATAAAAGCATCAAACATTGTAAAGGCCTTAATCAAGTTCTTTACTCTATTTGGTCTACCAAAGTCCATCCAATCGGACCAAGGAACGAATTTCACGGCCAATCTTTTCAAGCAAGTCATGACTCAGTTGGGCATCAAACACTGCATGTCGAGTGCATATCATGCCGAGTCGCAAGGCGCTCTTGAGCGATTCCATCAGACTCTCAAGAACATGATCCGAACCTATTGCTTTGAGCACGAAAAAGACTGGGACGAAGGAATCCACATGCTGCTGTTTGCAACCCGTGAATCCGTCCAGGAATCGTTGGGATTCAGCCCTTTTGACTTAGTCTTTGGCCATTCGGTGCGCGGTCCCTTGAAATGTATAAAAGAGACTTTGTTGTCACCAACAGCCACTGAAGGACTTTTAGACTATGTAAGTAAGTTTAAAACTAGACTTTATGATGCTTGTGTTCTGGCCAAAAATAACTTACAAAACACCCAATCCAGCATGAAACGCTGGTATGATAGAAAGGCCCGTGTTAGAGAATTTTCTCCCGGGGATAAGGTGCTTGTATTTTTGCCCATACCAGGTCAACCCTTGCAAGCCAGATATTTTGGTCCCTATGAAATTGAGACCAAAATTAGTGACCTCAATTACACAATCAAAACCCCTGACCGTAGGAAAAAGACTCAGCTATGTCACATAAACATGCTGAAGCCTTATGTATCTCGGCCAGATCACTCAGAGAAGAGTAATTGTGTTTTAAATACAGTCAAAAGTTGTTCAAATAGCCATGTTTCTCCTATTGATGATGATATTGTAAAGGAGAAATTTGGACAATACAAAATACCTAATTCTTTTGTATTACAGAATTTGGATGTAAAACTGTCTCATCTGTCTTCGACAGAAAGGCCAGTTATCATGAAACTCATTAATGAATTTAATGACATTTTTTCTGATGTACCAAAACAGACTAATGTTATAATGCATGATGTAGATGTTGGCGAGGCTACTCCAGTCAAGCAGCATCCTTACAGGGTCAACCCTGAAAAACTTGCCATACTTAGGTCAGAAATCAAGTATATGCTTGAAAATGACCTCATTGAACCAAGTTCCAGTAGCTGGAGCTCCCCATGTGTCTTGATACCTAAACAGGACAAGACTTATCGTTTTTGTACAGACTACCGTAAGGTAAATGCTGTAACAAAGACCGATTCGTTTCCTATCCCTAGGATAGACGATCTCATAGATCGTATTGGTGACGCTAAGTACATCACCAAAATAGACCTACTTTCAGGTTATTGGCAGGTTCCCCTGACTGATAGGGCAAAGGAAATCTCCGCCTTTGTCACCCCTGATGGTCTGTACCAATACAAAGTGATGCCATTTGGCATGAAGAATGCTCCTGCCACTTTCCAGAGAATGATAAATGCCCTGCTTGCTGACATGGAGAATTGCCACGCATACATAGACGATGTAGTAATTTTTAGCCAAGATTTTTCTAGCCATTGTAAACAACTGCATTGTCTTTTTACTAAACTTTTACATGCAAAAATTACTGTAAACCTGAGTAAGAGTGATTTTTGCCAGGCTTCCATCCAATACTTAGGCCATATTGTAGGACAAGGCCAGGTGAAACCTGTAATGGCCAAAGTAGAAGCTATCCAAGCTTTCCCTATTCCTGCTGATCGGAAACAACTCCGAAGATTTTTGGGAATGTCTGGATATTATAGAAAATTTTGCGAAAATTTTTCTGTCATTGCCAGTCCTTTAACAAACCTCCTGAGAAAGAACGTCCGATTTACTTGGACGGATGAATGTCAGAAAGCCTTTAACCAAATTAAGCAGATATTATCTAGCTCCCCCATTTTGATGGCTCCTGATTTCGGAAAACCTTTTAGGTTAGCTATTGACGCCAGTGACACAGGTGTTGGGTCAGTCCTTTACCAAGAAGATAATTTCCAAGTAGAGCACCCTATTTGTTTCTTTTCCAAGAAATTTAATAGACATCAAAGAAATTATTCTACTGTGGAAAAAGAATGTATTGGGTTGATTCTTTCTATACAACACTTTGATTTTTATATCAGTGGGTCCAGATGGCCACTGGTTGTATTTACTGACCACAATCCCCTTACATTTATCCACAAAATGTCTGGCAAGAATCAACGACTTCTCAGGTGGAGTTTATTTTTACAAGAGTACAACCTAGATCTTAAACACATAAAAGGCAGCGAAAATGTTATCGCCGATGCCTTATCTAGATTGTAAAAAGTATTTTGATGTATATATTTTTTTTATATATATCATGATAAATGCATTCTGTAATGTAAATATCATTTTTGTAATTATTCTAAAAAGATTTCCATTTCGTGGAAATGTAAACTTTTTATTTTTAGGAGGGAGGTGTTACGTATCTAGGTAACAATGCCTAGATACTATTGTTTTTTTTTTCTTGACCTGTAGGTTGTCTGCCCCTTTGTGTAATAAGTTTTTTTTTCTTCAAGAGTCAAGCCACACAGACAGTGACCGGTCCTTGACCTATGTGTGTACCTCTGGTTGAAAGGAGGGTGTTTTTTTTCTTTTCTTCTGTCTCTTTGAAGAGCGTTCTAGATCTGGGTGTTGATGACTTTCTGTTCTAGAAATTACTAGATATCGACGCGCGGTAGATTATATAAAGACCGCTCGCGTTACGTTGACGGACAGACATACGGAGACAGCCGTGAGACAGAATAGCGGAGACATTGCGTGACCCGTGCGTGGTATACCAATTGATCGTGTAAGTTAAGATGTTTTTTTTTTTCAAGGCCTTGCTTGTATTTGTAATTATATTTTCAAACACTTGTATTGTAATACTTTTACATGCCATTTTTTTTGTAAAAGGGTTTTGGTCAACCCTTCCATTTTGTATTGAGTTATATTATGATTAAACATTAAGTTGATATTTTACCTTCCGATTTCTTGTGTAATTTTTTTTTTGTTATTCATTGTAAGTCTTTGATTAAATTCAGACTTTAGATAAGTGACACAACTACCTTTTTCTATTGTCACGTTCCCCTAGGCAAGTCATTTAAAAGTTGAATTCAATTTGTAATACGTGACAAAATTATTCGATTGGATAAAACTTGCTTATAGTGAAGAAGTATGCAAATTATCCTCTTTCTGTGGAATCGCCAACCATCGTTTGAGAACCACTGCCCTAACCGAACAAAAATAACCAAGCAATTAATTAATTAGTGGTAATTTATTACTTTTTTTTTATATAGAAAGGGAAATAATCTTACAGTTGTTGATTATAAGGCTATAAATTTGCAGTTCTTTCGATTATCTACGCATTGTTATTTTTTAAAGTACTTTTTATATTTTGCTTTTATCTGGACTACCCTACTGTCGCCTTTGATTGGGGGGGGGGGGGGGGGGGAGAGGTCCAAGCTGGTAAACATTTTTGTGGGTTTTTTTTTACTCTAATTTTTAAAACATCCACTTTTGGTCGTTTATCACAGACCTGGCTCGTTCAGTGCACTTAGAGTGCGAATAACTTGTATCTAATCTACTTCAGGCCGCCATTGAGGGTGTTGTTCTAGACTTGGCTAATGTGACAAAAATGTCTTGTTTTATGTGGGAAATAGTGTCTATCTTATGTAGGCTAAAGGCATTAATGTTTTGTCTTCGTGGGCAATTGTATCTTATCGTATGGGCGCAAAATGTAGTGTCTTATATAAGTAATAGTGTCATATGTAATGCCTGTCTTATGTGAGCAATAGTATCTGTCTTATATTAGACATACAGCCTGTCTTATGTTAGAAATAATGAATGTCTTATGTGATTTTATTTCGGGGCGAAAGGTTTAAACTCAACCCCCCCCCCCCCCCGGCTACTCCCATGAACAAGATAACCCATTCCCACTTTGCGACTAAAGGAAGTCATAGTTAGTTATACCGAAGTTATACGTATATCAATTTTGTCTTTTATAAATAGTCTTAGGCCTACATGTTTAACTTTCAATCGATTCAGATTTACTAAACCTGACAAGGTACACTAAAAATGCGAAAAAGTTAAATTGCAACAAAATATGATATAACAGTTATTCCATGAAAAAGAAAAAACAAATGCATTATTTCTCTACATCTATTGTCAATTCAACAGATCATCATGAAAGAAAGATCTGAGTTTCGAAAATGTTAGTCTTGAATATGCATGGAGTAACTGAAAAAAAGGGAGATAACCATACAAATTTAAAGTGAATATATTGAAAATATACATTATTTCCCCTCCATGACGTGTGTTTGTTTGTATAACGTGTTTGCTACAATCCTGGCTTAGCTAACAAGGTTATTGGTTACTGTTCTTTCCACTTTCCCCTTTCCAAAGGCAAAGAGAAATCTCTTAAAAAATAAAATTTCAAAGCAATATCAATATCAATAAATCTGTTTAATATACATTATGATACTCGTGTCTAGACTTGTTTATTATGTAGAACGGCTATAATTCAAAGGAGACATTTCAAGTTATCTTAATAATATCACAAAAGTAACACAGTTGCGAGCGACACACTAAGTTTGTAGCACATACGTGCCCTTGATTATAGGTACTAGGCCTGCAGTCACTGCAGGTACCATTGTGAAATAAAAAAAAAAAACACATATCACAACACATACACACACAAAAGCAACAAACAGTGAAAAAATAACATTTAAAAATTGTTTTGGAGTGTATGTGTGTACGATGTAACCAAGAAGAAAGAAGAGCGGATGTTTTGGTTGTATTGGCGATGGAAAAGCGAACAAAAACAAAAATTAAATAAACAAATTTTTTTTGCAAAATTTCAACTACATCCATGATTGGGTGTGGGAGAAATAAAGTGTACAAAACCTTTTTTACCAGACAGACAGAGTTGATAAAAGCTTTGTAAAAAGGACTGGGTGAAAGTTGAAAGGGGAGATAAGAAAGAGAAATGAGAATGAAAAGACGTGTATTTGTAGTGAGTTATCTCTTGTTTTAACTCACATTTTATGTATGTTTCTACCTATATCTACATTCAAGAGGAGTCTGTGTACATTCAATAATAAAAGTTATAAGTAATAATTCTTAATATCGTGTATTGTTTCAAGTTTTACATTAAGAATTTAATAAGCCTACATCGGTTTGATTGTACCAGCTGTTTTAGATTACATCTGTTTAATTGTACCAGCTGTTTTAGATTACATCTGTTTAGTTGTACCAGCTGTTTTAGATTACATCGGTTTAGTTGTACACAAACACAAATAAAACAAAACAAAAAGACAACTATGTAAATAAAATGTCTATGGCTGTCGTACACTCTGCTCGACCAAGTTGTAGGCTTATAGTCGCTTCATCATTTACTTCAGTTAATTCTTGGTCACAAAAAATAACAATTCACATTGTATCACAAAATAAATCCCTGCATAGAGCACAAAGCGGCTTTTTGATCCACTTTTTGTGGTTAGAAAGTAAAAACATCCATTTGTTTTGATCAGTGAAATTAACAGGCGAACCAGCAGCCTCGTTTTCATCTATAGTAGAAGTGTGCATTAACCCGATTCACCAATAAATTAAAAGATTTGAACACCCGCACTTCTTAATTCAATCTCAAGAGGTATTTGATGTGAACAACTATCTCGCCACCATCCTTTGTAAAGAAGCTCTGAGACCAATGTCCGAGACACGGTTCATGTTCACACTTGGAGCGGGTATTCGATTGGAAACAGGTAGTCTTCTGATTAAGTAGTTCACAAACTCGTCAGACCTGTCCACTGCTGGGCTAACCAGCTCGCGGAAAAATACGCACTGAAACCTACAATTAAGCAAAACATTTGGCTTATCGGTAGTTGTAAGGTGAGTAGGCTCAAAACGAGAAGACGCCGAGTCCACAGAGGCCATCTCTTCTAGAAATCGTCTCAGGTGAGGCTGGAACGATATGATTTCCACCTTGTGTCCCCTGGGAATGTACGAGTCAGCTGGAGATGAAGATGCTGGTCCGCTGGGAGACAATCTGCTAGACACGCGCGTCCTCATCCGCGCATCGGTCTGTGTTGGGTCATTGGGCCAGTTCACCGCATAGTCCGACACTTCTAGAGCTTGATGGCTGCGTTGAGCTAGTACCCCATTCCACCATCTTGCACGGTAATTTAAGTTGGCCAAGTCCGGCATATTGTTTGTGTGCACAGACTCGGGCAAACTCTGCGAAGGCATTTCCCAGAATGGAAGAAGTGGTCCGGCATTGACGCCCTCTACACTGGAAGCTGTTGCTGGAGGCGTTTCCAAAGTAGAAACCTTGTCAAGAGCATATCGAATAGGATTGGAGCCGCCCGAGAATTCTGAAGGCATCATGACGGGTTTTTGTACACTGCTTGATACATCTGAATATACATTCCCGCTGGCTGGAGACTTTTCTTCCAGTTTTAGTTTAGGGTCCAGTGAAATAGAAGTTGCCAGAACCTTGTCGAGTGACGAATCTGTCGAAGCGAGACGAGATAAAGACATGGAATTCACAAGATACCCTGTTTCATCCAATATTCCGCTGCCTTTTTGAGAGTTTTCATAGTTTGGATCGGGGGTAGTTGCTTGGGGCCAAAATCTTGTCGCCATAAGCCGTGGAATAAGAGCGGAGGGCGCCAGAGAAATATGATTGCTTTCAGATGAGACGACCGTGCGCGTCATATCAGATCTCGGGTCAGGTGGAAGATTTTCTGTGACTATGGCGTTATTTCCGGTTAGAGAAGTATTAGATTTAGAGACAGTGCCATCTTCTATCGCTGGTTCTTTAACACTGGACACAATATTCAGCTTAACCCCGTCTGCACGGGTGTCGTCGCCTGCAAGGGCGAGAACTGAGACTCCCTTATGGATCATGTTTAATATGATGTCCGATTCCGGGTTTAAGCCCTGAACACTGTTGGAAATGAGGTCGCTGTTAGCGTTGAATGGTGTAAGTCCCAAATGCAAAGCTAGATTCCCTCTGGAAGGGCTGTAGGATGTTTCTTGATTGGCTGGCTGCATTTGAATTCCGCTGTTATTTGTTTTGGTGACAGCAGCCGAACTCAAAGGTTCTCCTGTAAGTAGAATAACATAGGTAGATTCATTAGTTAAAACAAGCAAAATATTTAAAAAATCCTTTAAAAAAAAAGGGGGAGGGTGGAAGTACAGGCCCTTAAAACTATATCATCAATAATGTACAAGCTATTTCCCTTATTTGATATCAAACAAAATAATTAATTACCTATTGATTCATGTTTTGTTAGCTACAATAAATAATTGATCGGAGAATGCGTGAGGGAGAATTAGCGTTAACAATTATTTGAGGGGACTAAACCCAACAAATGCAGCCTTATCTGTGAATACTGAAGGATTAGTTTCCCTTGTTGGTTTCAAATATAATAATTAATTACCAATAATTAGTAGACTAATTGGTTACTTTTTAAAATTAATTCATGTCTTGAATAATTGTGTGAAGTTTCAACTTGATCCGAGAGTGGGTGTGGGAGAAATAACGTGTACACACTTTTTACCAGACAGACAGAAAGACACACAGAGTTGATATAAGCTTTGTAAAAAAAAATCAACAGGAGTTTACTCAATACCAACCGTCATTGAAGGCCTGAACACTGACCTGCATCGTCGCAACCTTTGGGCAGTGGAGACCAATAGCTCATTGCTATGTCACAGGTCTTAACGACTTGGCATCGAGTTATAGGTCTCCATCGCCTACAGGTTTCGTCGTCGCAGGTCAGCGTTGAGGCCTACCATAACGATTGGTCTCGGTGTATACTGTCTGACCTTAGTGACATGTAAGGGAGACCATTCATAATAGATTAACTGGCTGAACTGAGATTTTCACGATAAACGAAACAATGCCAAGGACGATTAATTGAAATTTAATATTGCTACATATTGTCTTTTATTTAAAGAAGGAACACCTGAAACATGTAAAACAACCCTAGGCCATGTCATGCCAATAAATCCTTAAATGTAAATGTTATACATGTTTCGGATGTTCCTTCAGAGTTGAAGATAATTACTTCCTAGTCCAAACCTCCCGCAGGACGACGGGGGATGGGAGCGGGCAGGGTTTGAACCCGGGACCATCGATAAATCTGAACGACAGTCCAGCGTGCAAACCGCACGACCAGGCAGCCATCCATTGATAGTCCAATCCTTTGCCAAAGCTAAATGGGATGCTGGATACTAACAACAAGGTTACAAAGACAGTTGGTGTGGAAACTCCAAATCGGCCCCCGAAGTGGTCCATCCAGGGAAGTAAAAAGGCAGGTTTCAATGTTTTCATAAAGAATATCAGAATGAAATTCTATCAAAGGCAAATGACAGAAGAATGGAGAAAGAAAGTTGACAAATCTTGTGTGATGCATCAACGGTTAAGCAGACCAAAGGATAGGTGAAAGTGAATATGAAGCTAGATGTGAACCTGGACTAACTGATGGCTTATGATGAATATCTAATTCATGTCATCGTTTTGTACATGTCTATGTCCTATTCAAAGCCTCAGGGAAAAATAATAATTCCTTTATTTCAGTGTCCTATTCATAAGTAAGGAAACCGTAGTTCACACGATAATATAAATAAATATACACATTTTTAATTTAAAAGAAAATGAAAACGTATTATGTGTACAAATTAGAATATAAGACTTACACAAACTGTTTTCTTTGTACCATCACTTCGTCTGTGAGAAACCATGTTTGGTTATATGTAAGGGCCAAATGTAGAGTCTTATTCTAACTTAGGTTTTGAAAAAATGTAAAAAAAAATCAACCATGGCTATCACAGCGAGGGGGGAGTGAGATCCTGTCCAACAGGGCCAAACGAATGGATCTAGGGGTATTTTTATTGGCCTCCTTCAGCCGTAGAACGATTATGGTTCATCTCAGAGCACACTTCCTCATGAGGCTGTGGAGCCCTATTTTGGAGAGACACTCCCGTCCACAGATAGCGCAGGTTAAGGTGGCTTTTGCTTCGGTGGTAGAGAAGCTGGCGGTTTTTTGGATTGTGCGTTTTTCTTCCTGGGCTGAGACCCATGTACTTTCACTGTCCATAGCTTTCTTGGTCACTGTATCTCTCCACCTGTTGCGGTCTAGAGCTATGTCTTCCCGATTGTCATTATTGATGTTCACTGATTTGAGGTCACGTTTTATTACATCTATGTAACGCAGGTGGGGGCGACCAGTTTTTCTTGTGCCAGTCGCGAGTTGACCATCTAGGGGTATATGAGGTGTAAATGAGATGTGTGAGATCAAGTTAATTGAGATAGAGAGCAACAGAAGGAGTTGGAGATAGGGCTTGGACAGAGTTGTTGAAGTTGGAAGTCCGTGATATCAGTAGGAAAGTCTGAGTTATGCGGTGTAATTAACTATTTTTGTTTTGGATTCACCTGACGATCCACACGAATTCAATAGGTAAATATGTTCTATAGTTTAATTTGTTTATTAACTATATGAATGAGTTGAGTGTCCTTAGAGAGTGCCACCTAAGACTGAACTAGATTTCGGAGTTGTTCGCCAGCGATCCACCCTCTAGACAACGACCTTCACAACCACCCAAGGCGGTTTATAACAGTTTCTAGATCTTCGCTCGATAAATGACAACCCACTTTCAAAAGAACAAAAACTGGAAAGTCAGGTTCAAATCTTCAGACAAAAAATGCAACCATTTAAAAGATAGATTATAAATTGAAAGATTACTAGCCTGTAAATTCTTGAATGTTGTCCCCGGAGATGTTTTGATGTACACGGGTTTTATTCTGCCTTGGGATATTATCCACTTTTAGTCCGTCGCCTCGACCAAGAGGAACCACGCGCCCTTGCTGGGTTTGTTCTGAAAGCGACCTGGTGGTGGGGTCTTGTAAATCTTTGGAGGTATTTGGCTCCAGTAGTGGGCTTTTTGTTCCTCCTGGAATTTCCGAAGCCGTCATAGGTGACGTCTCTGAGGTTAAAACATATGCAACTGACGTGGAATCTGTCGTTGCCCTCGTTGACTCGTCAGGAAATCCTAAAGAACTTACTGTAATATCAGAGAAAACTTTTGGTGTGGAATGTCCGGAATTAGCTTCGTTTGCTTGGGGATTGGTCTCGTTTGCTTGGGGCTTGGCTTCGTTTGCCATAGGATTGGCTTTGTTATTTT